CTGTGGCCTGGTCTAAACCCAGATTGAAAAGGGCTAATTAGGGAATTATTAAATATAAATCGAGAAAGCTGCTTATGGACACAGATCTCGAGCACTTTGGATAGGAAGGGTAAGATTGAAATTGGGCGAAAGTGATTAGGAACAGAAGGGTCAGGAATTTTAGGTAGGGCACGAACATAAGCTCTGCGCCATAGGAAAGGAAACTCTCCAGAGTCAAGAGAGAAGTTAATAATATGATAAATTGCAGGTAGGAGACAGTCTAGGATAGTTATAATCATGCGGCGACATATGTTGTCATATCCCACCGCATTAGATTTAATGGAAAGTATCACTTTTCTTATCTCAGAGGGGGCAACTGGAAAGAGCTGAAAGGGGACAACATCTGGACGCCTTAGGCCAGACAAATAAGCTAACGTTTGATTTTTAGTTAAGGGATCTATCACGGAGGATGTGGAGAAGTGTCGGTTGAGATCATCTAATTGAATAATATTTGGAATGTCCAAACGTCGCGATCTGCCGATACCCAAAGTTCCGAGAAATTTCCAAACATCGGCAGGAGAAGAAGAAGCGATATTATCCAGAATGTGGCGGCGCTTGGCATTGCGTATCATTTGATTACACCTATTCCTAGCAGACTTAAAAAGGACCCAATTATCTTCGATGCGATTCTTTTTGTATTTTCGAAAAGCGCGATCTCTGCGACGCATGGCCATTTTAACTCCTTCAGTCATCCATGGTGCAGGCGTTCGTTTCAGTTTTACTTTTCTAATTGGGGCATGAATATCATATATTTTGATTACGATATTATTGAACATTTCGACTTTGTGATCAGCTGATGCAGCATCTACTAGGGGATCCCAGTTTATCTCGGCTGCATCATTTCTGAGTTTTTCAAGACCCATGCGAGAAAAGCAGCGCCTGTGCAGGGTCTTGGGAATAGGTTTTGGGGATTTAAGGATATAGGTAAGAAAAATTAGGTCATGATGAGTCAAGTACGCGGTCAGTTCCTTCTTCTTCATGCTCAAACAGAGTTGAACCTGCTTCACCGTTGTGGGACCTGTCCCAGCAAGAGTAGATTCGCGTAGGCACTCCCACAAGACCGATAGGTCCCATTGCCCGAAAACTCGAAGGTGGCGCTAGCAGACATCGGCCAGGACGAACACGCACACGAAGGCTTTACGCAGGAAATACGTAGCCGGGGTATTCAAGGTACAAAGTATCATCCAGAGCAGATATCGTCTCCGTCAGACAAAGCAGAACAGGCTGCGCCGTTTCAAGGTGGTTATGTACCGCGTCAAAATTGGTTTGTAATTCCCTAACATTGCTGCAATCCACGTTAAGCGTGGAATGGGGAACCGCTGTCAAAACCCAGTTTCTTTTTAACTATAATAAACTTTTTTGGGTATCACGGGTTAAACCAATGCAAGCGCGAAGTACCAACCCCCTACACTAATATAGAATATTGATGTATTTTTGAAGCATAAGGGTTCTGTGACGTTCGGATCGTCTTAAATAATTTCATACAAAGGTCAAAGGCTAGCTGATGGCCATGAAAAAATTAAAGAATTAGATATAATTTATTAATAATTATATATATTTACTATTTACATTGTGTTGTGGATTATATTGTAACCAGGGTAATTTCCGTGACCAGAATCTCGGTATCCATAGCCGTTATTGCCATATCTCTCATATCCATAATCGTGGCGTCCGCCTAAGCCCTCAAAGGCACCAAATCCATAGTTAGTTAATCCGGCGCCTGCTCCACCTCCGACGCCTATTCCTAGACCTAGCTTAGCTCCATCTTAACAGTAGCCGACAGTAATGACACGTCCGTGTAATCCAGTGCCAACATTGGCCCCACCTCCTAGTCCGAAATCGTGATAACCATGGCCGTAACCATGTCCGTGAGATCCGGCACTGACACCAGCCCCGACTCCTAGTCCAGTGTCGTCGTGTCTATATCCGTTACCATGGCCGTGAGCTCCAACACCAACACCGAGTCCTAGCCCTGCGTCACCATGTCCGTATCTGTTACCACGGCCATAAGCTCCAACATCAACACCGAGTCCTAGCCCAGCGTTATTGTCTCTATTTCCATTACCATGTCCATGAACTCCAGCACCAACACCTAGTCCTAGCCCAGCATCGCCGTCTCCATGTCTATGTCCATGTCCATGTCCATGTCCATGTCCATGTCCATGTCCATGTCCATGAATTCCGGCACCAATACCTAGTCCAGCGTCACCGTCTCCATTTCCATGCCCATGTCCATGAACTCCAATACCAGCACCGACTCCTAGTCCCGCGTCATTGTTTCCATTTCCATGGCCATGTCCATGAACTCTGACACCAGCACCGACGCCTAGTCCAGCGTCACCGTCTCCATTTCCGTGTCCATGTCCATGAATTCCAGCACTAACACCTAGTCCTAGCCCAGCATCGCCGTCTCCATGTCCATGTCCATGTCCATGTCCATGTTCATGTCCATGTCCATGAATTCCGGCACCAATACCTAGTCCTAGTCCAGCGTCACCGTCTCCATTTCCATGCCCATGTCCATGAACTCCAATACCAGCACCAACTCCTAGTCCAGTGTTACCGTCTCCATTTCCATGCCCATGTCCATGAACTCCAATACCAGCACCGACTCCTAGTCCCGCGTCATTGTCTCCATTTCCATGGCCATGTCCATGAACTCCGACACCAGCACCGACGCCTAGTCCAGCGTCACCGTCTCCATTTCCATGTCCATGTCCATGAATTCCAGCACCAACACCTAGTCCTAGTCCAGCGTCACCGTCTCCATTTCCATGTCCATGTCCATGAATTCCAGCACCAACACCGACGCCTAGTCCAGCGTCACCGTCTCCATTTCCATGTCCATGTCCATGAATTCCAGCACCAACACCTAGTCCTAGTCCAGCGTCACCGTCTCCATTTCCATGTCCATGTCCATGAATTCCAGCACCAACACCTAGGCCCAGTCCAGCGTCACCGTCTCCATTTCCATGTCCATGTCCATGAATTCCAGAACCAACACCTAGTCCTAGTCCTAGCCCAGCGTCACCGTGTTTATATCCGTGTCCACGTCCACCAAGACCAAGGCCAGCGCCGATATTCAATCCGAGTCCAAGATGAGGTAAGCCTGAAACACGCACATCAAATTTTGTGTTAGAATAGCAGAGTTGCATTGATATGTGAGATTTCAAAATATTTGAAGGAAGCGCTTTGTAGAGCCTTTTCAGTACAAAAATTCTATGACGATTTTCTTATAAAAGTGTTTAATTTCTTTTCATTCTATAAAGACCAAAAAAATGATATGCCAATAAATAATGTACCTGGGGTACATGGTAAATTTGACAAGACTCCTAAACTTAAGATATCGTTGGGTTTTTTGTTTACATTACAATATTTTCTTATGAAATTTGAACAATTGATTGAAATATCACGGACATTCTGACCCCGGAAATGGTAAGCGCTAATAAATTCTTAAATTTTGTGGAAAAATGCGGGATGAATCACTGACTGCATATTTTCAATAGCCAAAAATGACTTTCTGTTCGCAGTGTGTAGGAAAGCATCAATACTTCTTGACAGTCGTATTTTATTAAACATATCGAAAAGCTCTAGGCTAAAGCTCATGTGCCACTCATTTTTAATTATCATCAATTGAACAACCCAAATCCCTTTGTGTTCTGAAATTAGTTCATAATGAATCCATTTTGTAAGCTATTGTTCTGTTGTGTATATATATAGCTTGATGTTTTTTTTTTTATTGCGATGTTCCAAACTTTAAAACAGAGCTAAACATCCAAAAAAGTCTCTTTGCTATCTGCCAAGGATGTGTTATAAGATTCTTCGGACACATCATGCGGTCTCTCAGACATGAATTAGAGAAGCTCATAATTTTGGGTCGCATAGAAGGCAAGCGTGTCGTGGGCAGAACACCCGCCATATGGTTAAGTCTGGTTAGGAAAGCGGTTGGTGGTAGTCTATAACCACGGGGTCCATGCCACCCATGACCGAAAACTATGAATGAAAGGCACATGTGGTCGCGATCCTCAGCAGTGAGGGAACGATGAAGAAGAAAAGTACCAATTTCTAAATGACCTCCAATCTCTTCATAGGTGATGCGCCAATTTTATTCAACTAATCGCCTTACAGTAGCCACATTGTCCCCAGTGATCGTAGTCAGGGGAGCGAAAGATGATCGCTATGAAATTTAACGTACCAACGCTTTACGGGGCTCAAACGAGGTGCTTCACTTTCAAAAGCATTTCAAGAACGAGCAGTGCAATCTTAATCAATCTTTTGGAAAGTAAAAAAAGCGAATTATAATAACATTTTTTTACTGAGTTTGAGACCATTTATTATAGGTAATCAAATACAGTATGATAGAATGTCCTTAATGATATTAGAATGCTGCTGGTTTGTTGGTTACGATTTCGATAACGGTTTCTTTCGGGATTTCTGTTGAGCAAAATCTTCTATTATAGTCATAGTATATGCCTTGTAAATACCTTCTGATTACTGACTTGTGAAAAAAGTGTACTGTGCCCGACAAAAATGTTTTGAGAATAAACGTGCGAGAGACAGTCGTCACCACAGTGTCTCGAAGAACGCACGCGCCGCCCGTCGGTCGTTGCTTCTCGCGGACTCGTAATTTTTCCACGTGTGATAACTACCTTCCGTAATAGACCAGGGTAAAGCCTTTAAAAATAATGAAAAGTGAAAGAAAATAATAGTAGGATGAAACCCATTAGAAAAGGAGGAGAATATTATAAAACTGGAAGGAAAAATAATTTACGGGCGATCTGAGGTCGGGAAGGGGATGGGGGGGGGGGTTAAGGGTAAAAAACGGTTTTTCTCGATTTTCGGCAAAACTAAAAAAAACTCCTATGGAAAAAAGTCAAATGGCAAAGTTGTAGGTAATAAAAAGATCTAAAACTTTTGTATTTACACTTTTTTCACATAACCTCAAAATTTATGTAAAAAATTTAAAAAAACCAAGTTTTTGGTTTTTCATTTTTATCTTTTTCAAAAAAAAATCTTTTTTCACGAAATTTGCTGAAAACTTACCTTTTTATGTCCCAAATACGCTGTAATTTATCTGATTAGAAATATTTATTTTTTCACCTTATTTTGAATTAATATCGAAAAAGGACCCTAATTTTCAATCGAAAATTCACCCGTCAAAATATCAGCTTTTTTCAAAAAGTTGGTATGTTTTCTGCTGGTTGAAATCTCTATTTTCCGATGGTGAAAAAAAATATATGTTACTATAGTAAATCTTCTCAGAAAATGCGAAAAATCGAAAAAAACTCGAATTCAAATATATTTTTTTAATTATTATGTACAATTTTTTATTTTAAAATTTACCATTTAATTACTCGAAAAACATAAGATTACAAGTTACATTGAAAAAAAAAAATTGCAAATCAAAATATACTACTATAATTAACAAAAAAATAAGTTAATAAAATTCATATTTAATAAGACATCTACAATATTTGGAGAAAGTTGTCGAATCTTCTTTAAATTATATGCGTAGGTGCATATTTATAACTATTTTTAGATAACTTATATACCTGAGTGACCTGCGAAAAATTTTAGCACATCAGAAGGTATTTGAAATATATGAAATATACATGAAAATCATCCAAAAGTTAGTTATTAAAAATATATTTACGATATATATTTTATATATATTTACATATTTTTTATAGATTTTTAATATATTGTTTATGTATTTAGAATTATTTTTTTTCCTGGGAGTAACTAAATTTGTTTGTGCAAAATTAAGGAGATTATTATTTTTTAATAACTAACTTTTGGCTGACTTTCATGTATATTTCATATATTTCAAATACCTTTTGATGTGCTAAAATTTTTCGCAGGTCACTCAGGTATATAAGTTATCTAAAAATAGTTATAAATAGGCATCTACGCATATAATTTAAAGAAGATTCGACAACTTTCTCCAAATATTGTAGATGTCTTATTAAATATGAATTTTATTAACTTATTTGTTTGTTAATTATAGTATTATATTTTGATTTGCAATTTTTTTCTATCAATGTAACATGTAATCTTATGTTTTTCGAGTAATTCAGTTGTAAATTTTAAAATAAAAAATTGTATATGACGGAGGAGAAACGCTGAAGGAATGTTTTTAAAAAGTGTGACGTCAGCATTGTTGACGTCACGGTCTTTAAGTTCTCGATGATGACTCATGTTTGGGCTTCCAAAACAGAACTTCACGAGAACTGCGTATATTGCACGAGAAGCATAACAACGTTACAGAGAGATTCGTACTGTACTACGGCTCGGACACGAATGAATAAACGCTAGACAGCACGGCCGTATTTATAGGACTTCGTACACGTCAGCGTGTTTACAAGTATTAAACACGTGAGCGTGTTTACAAGATTTTAAAGTATTGAAATTACAATAAAAGGGACTGCTTAACATCAATTTCTTATCACAGAGTAATTAGTTGATGATCAGTAGGTAAATAGTCATATTTGCGCCGACATATATAATAATTAAAAAAATATATACGAATTCGAGTTTTTTTTCGATTTTTTGCATTTTCTGAGAAGATTTACTAGAGTAACATAAATTTTTTTTTTCATCATCGGAAAAAAGAGATTTCAACGAACAGAAAACATACCAATTTTTTGAAAAAAGCTGATATTTTGACGGGTGAATTTTCGATTGAAAATTAGGGTCCTTTTTCGATATTAATTCAAAATAAGGTGAAAAAATAAATATTTCTAATCAGATAAATTACAGCGTATTTGGGACATAAAAAGGTAAGTTTTCAGCAAATTTCGTGAAAAAAGATTTTTTTTTGAAAAAGATAAAAATAAAAAACCAAAAACTTGTTTTTTTTAGTTTTTCACTTAAATTTTGAGGTTATGTGAAAAAAGTGTAAATACAAAAGTGTTAGATCTTTTTATGACCTACAACTTTGACATTTGACTTTTTTCCATAGGACTTTTAGTTTTGCCGGAAATCGAGAAAAACCGTTTTTTACCCTAAACCTACCCCCCCAACTCCTTCCCGACCTCAGATCGCCCGTAAATTATTTTTCCTTTCATTTTTATAATATTCCCCTCCTTTTGTAATGGGTTTCATTCTACTATTATTTTTTTTGGTTTTAAAAATTATCGACACTGGTCTATAATAATAATTTTGCCATCGATAAAATGATACTAAAGCACTCAAACTATATACAGTAATAATAAGAGTTTTAGTGTGTTGTTTATATTGTTTCTGACTACACGAACAAAATAAGTACCCAAATGTTAGCTAACAGCCCCAGTTACGCGAAAGTTGCACAAAGTACGATGTTCCCAAAAGAAGATCAAGTCATTGTTATTGACGCTATAGAAAACGTGCAAATTAAAGACTACGCGCAAGCCTTAGGGAAATTCATAATTTCCAACTCAAATAAGGTTTCTGTCTAGAATTTCTAATAACCGCATTTGTATATATTTGTCGTCAAAATCTATAGCTGATGATATCGTTGATAATAAAAAGTATATAACCGTACGGAACCACAAGCTACCAATTCGACCACTGATCAATAGAAACAAACGTATCATTCTCTCAAACGTATGTCCAATTATCCCTCACTCTGAGATAGAATCAAAACTGAAGGAAGTAGGAATCAATCTAATGTCGCCTATATCTTTTTTGAGAGCCCGTATCAATGATCCTGGATATAATCACATATTGAGCTTTCGCCGTCAACTCTTTGTGACTCCCGAGAATTTTTACCGCCTCCCAGAAAATATCTTCATAGAATTTGAAGACACTCCCTACTGGATCTATCTATCGTCGGATACTATGACCTGCTTCGTTTGCAAGAGTGAGGGCCATATTGCCTCGAAACGTCCTCAAAGCGAGTTAGGTATAACTTCTTCAATTGAATTTGATTATAGAAAACAGCGTGTCACAAAATGAACCTTCTAACTTTAAACGGCCACATCCACCACCTGAATCTTCTACAACCGATGAGCCCAAGGCTCGTTACTATACTTGAGACCTTAGAACTTGTATCTCAAGATGGGTAGCGCATTTACGTTGTGGATGTCTATGGGCTCCAGTAACCACTTAACACCAGGTGGGCTGTGAGCT